GTGGATGCAACAGGCGCTCGCCACCGACGTGTAGCCCAGATCAAGAAAAGGTTCCTCAAAGGGCAAGGAAGAGCGGGCATTCTCCATCGTCTCAAGTTGCAGAGGAACATCCGCTTTCCATTGCACAAAAGCGCAATCCATCCAGTGATGACCTGGGGCGCTCAGGCAAACGGGTTGGTCCCACAACGACGGCAACACATCAGGGTCCTTGCTGCCAGAGGCTTGCGCCTTCAGGGTTCAGTGGATGTGGTGTATGACATGCATCCGCAACATCCTGACCCTGGGGATTCCATCATCCAGCAACACCTGTTCTCAGTCTGGAAGATTTGCCATGCCTTCGATGAAAGCACTCAACACCTTTTCTGGACCAGGTGGAACGTCGCTTTGGGAGCCTCCAGAAGGTCCGCTATCGATGGCAGGTGGTCAATGGTCCCCTTCAAGCCCACTTCTGCAGATGTCCGCCTTCCTGTAGGAGTTCCAGACCCGGTACAGACAGGAGGTAAGAGCAATAGGCCTTTCGACCCCACACCGCAATTGTGTAGGCAGCAGGGCAGTCTTCTCCATCTCAGTGAGCAATGATGCCAAACGCGTGACTGCTGGATAAGGCAGGTGTCGCAGCATGTCGTAGGAGACGCCGTCCGGCCCTGCCGCTTTGTTGGGCAGCTTGCGTAGCAATTTCTGTAGCAAAGAGGAGCCAACGGCCTTCCAAGTGGCCGCTTCTTGCTGCGCTGCTGCTTGCAGATGCTCTACAAGCCTCTGATCTGGACTGGCTGTTGAAGGGGAATCCAAATCTCTCCCCATTGATTTTCCCGAGCCCTGATCCTCTCATGGGCCGGCAGGTCTTGAAAGGGCCGTTGCCAAGCTTGATCCCGCTGTCGGAGACTTCTGGTGAGCCTTCTGTAGCCGCTCCTGGAATTCAAGGCTGGTAGAGTGAAGGACCTAGCTCTGTGGGATCAGTCGTAGGACTGGAGATCCACTCCTGCAGGATGGCTTGAAAGACATCAGCTTGAAAATCATCAGATCCATATCGAGGCACATCTTGGAGCATATTGGTCAGATCTTTGAGGACGCCTCGGTGACCAGTGTGATGAACAATGTTGATGCGGACATTGAATTTCTCCCAGAAAGCTACGGCTCCTCGCATCCAGGTTCTGGAGGCGGCGCTATCAACCAAAGGAGCCTGATGAAGGGAGATGTTGGAGCCTCGTCCCGTCACAGGCTTGTGAAGCAATTGGGTGACATACTTCTCCGTTTGGGTAGCCCATCTTGCCAGGTCCGACCCCAAACCGTAGAAAGGGCCATCGTCTTCCTGGAAGCTGGTCCATAGGTGTGGCAACTGCAAGGTGCGCCCAAACCGCTGCAGCTGTTGGGCCGGCAAAGCCGGCTGTGCGCAGTCCAAGTGAACCTCCAAGGCACAATGCGGCCTCCAGGGTACATCCCAGCAAGCTTGGACCCGGACCCGGATAGAGCCAACCAAGGTGTTGGAGACCAGAAGATAGTCAAGGTGACTGCCCTGCAAGGTCGCGCTGCCGCCCGTGTCCAGGATCGTGGCCCGGAACTTGCTCTGAATCACAGTGGCCGCTAGGGCTTCAGGTTCATTCTGCCAATCGCCAGCAATGATGAAGGGGGCGTGAAGATGATGAAGGTATGCTAGCAGCTGACTCGGGATCTGGGCATTGTTGGCAGACTGAAGAGTCTCCCCTGTCTTGAGGTAAATCTAAGATCTGCATCCCGTTGCCCTCGTGCACAAAGTGAGACGCCTGGTGCGTGAGATGTCTGGTGGAGTTTAGAGTAAGGAATCCACCAGACACGCCTCCCTGCCCCACGGCTTGCGCCGGCACTCCATAGGCCTTCCAGCCTCTCGTGGAGTAGTATTGCACCGCTTTCAAGGTTTCCTTTTTCAGATGCGTCTCTTGAAGGAAAAGCAAGGAGTCTGGCCTGGTCCAAGTCCAATCCTGCACCTTGGGGCCATAGGTGGCGACGTTGCCAAAGATCAGGGTGAGAGTTTCCAAGGATGACTTGTGGCGTTTGGCCGCCGGCAAAGCATACTCAGCTTGGGTGTCTTCAACCAGCTCATTAGCGGGTTCTTTGATCAGCAAGATCTGTAGGATTTCACACTTCTGTTGCTGAGTGAGTTGCCCCAAAGGTGTGGGGTAAGCTTCGTCTTCACCCAACCACATAGCATTGTCCATGAGGAGGATCGTCTGGTAGTGACCGTTTTGATGACCTTCTCCTTGATGCGTGACAAGCCCCACGATGCGGTAGGAGGCATTGTGAACATGAGTTTCATGATCAGAAAAGGGGATGTTGATGTCCGTGAGGATGTCAAGCTCCCGGTTGTGTTTGGTCCAGGTGCCCTCTTTGAGTTGGAAGCGCTGGAGTTGCAGCACCAGGGCATCCGGGGCTCCATACAAGAACTGACCTCCATCTTCATCAGCCCAAGCGTTGACGAGATCCTCTAAAGTGACCGTTGGTGTCGCCCTCAGGGAAAAGGACGTTGAGGAGCATTTGTTCCCTAACTCCAAGTTGGCCAGAAAGAGTCCACGGAAAGAACTTGCTGCCAAAGAAGGTGGTATTTGCATACTCCCAGAGATAGCCCAGGAAATCAGAGGCATCAGCCTGTCATCCTTGTTCAAAATCAGCCCAAACAATCTCCATGTTCATCAACGTGGGCAGCCATTGGGGATCCGAGCTGGACAGAAACTGTCTGACAGCGCCGTGCTTTCGGCCCCAGGCCAATGAGGCGTTGTCAGCAAAGGCTCCTGCCCAGCACCAACACCGGAAAGGGGCATTGCCAAAGCAGAAGTTGTAGCCATCAGGATTCCTCAGGGTGGAAGTCAAAACTTGAGAGATGATGAAGACATTTGCCATGGGCCATTTGGTGTCTCCCGGCAAGCTCAAATGTTTGTGGATGAGATTCTGCATCCTTCGAAGGTCCGCCAGGACTTGTTGCCCATGATGTGGATTTACAGTTTCTCGATATCTCTGACAAGATTGCATGAGATCCTGCCGACATAGGTCAAAAATACAACTCCCCTCAGAGAGCGCACCCTCCGAGTCAGTGCGCATGGTCGTCTGCATCGAGCCAGAGTGGCTTCTGAAGGGGTCCTGGAAGAAGCAGTACCTTGACAGGTCTGCTCTGAGGTAGTATAGAACCCTGCCCCACAGAAGGTCTCTGAACACGGCAGTCGTTGGCCAGAGATACTGCCTCCGTAGATCTTCAAGGAGGCTTTGCGACGGTGAGGCCATAGCCCTCCAAACCCTGCGGAGAGCTCGTGCTTGAGCCTGAAAGTGCCAAAAAGAAAGAATGGTGATTGTGATCAACCCCGCAATCGAAGTTGCAAAAGTGTCAGTCTTGCGGCGTTTGGTCTCCTCCACAAGATCATTTGGCGGCCTTTTCAACATGGTTTGCAGCTGTTGGCGCTGTTCTTCAGTGAGGTTGACACCTAAGGTGTTGATAAAGCCGGCCACTGCAGCCGGAACCGGGTCACCACTTTCCGCTTCAGGAAGGGCGCCTAAATCAGGCTTTGCTGAGTTCACCAAAGACATGTAAGAAGCACTGGTGGCTGAAAGTGTTTGCTGCTCCGTCTCAATCTTGGCCTGAATTGCCTTCATCTCCTCAAGCAGCTCTTGGAAAGCTCACTTCGTGGAGTCAATCTTCTGTTGAAGAGCTGTCTTGCGGTGAGAGAGGTCCTTGAGGAGCGTGACCTGGCTCTTCAGCTTGGAGGCCACATCTTGCTCGGTAGGGGGAGCTGGCTTGGTTAACTTCTCAACCAGCTCACGCACCGTAGGGGGCAACTGGGCCATGTTCTCCGCCAGAACACATGCTGGTGCCAAGATCTCCGCCGTGGCTTTCTAGATTTTGGTGACCTTAGAGGCAGCCTGTCACCGGGTGTTGACGTCGTCCTTGGCGCTTAGGAGATCTCGAGTTGGGAGCGGTGCTGTAGCCTTGAGGTAGTCGAGGCCATGGGCTTCCACACTTCCTGCATACAAAGCCTCCCTTACTCGATCGTTCCAGATCCAATTGGCGCAATCTCCACAAGCGCAGACTTGGTAAGATCTGCAGTAGGAAGCGTGCCACCCTGAGCCCATGGCGTCAAAGTCAGGAGTGTCGTCGGTGAAGGCGTGAAGAGCCCACCAGACCTGCTTGAGCCTCCTGGAACCTTTGAGCCGAAACTTGAGCCCTGGGGTCTTGCTTCAGTAAGCACGTACACAGTATACAAGTAAACATATGTCGCAACACAAAATACAATATCTGTTTGCTCGCGCGTGCGTGATTATAATCTCGGCTATATATCTCTTACTGCAAGACGTGACCCTCTGCGGCGAGCGCTCAAACGCATGGTGAAATGCAAATTCTGGTTGCCCTCTGCGGAGATCGCGCGCGTCAAGTGCTCAAACGTGAGGTGAAACGTGAATTCCGGCTGCGCTGGATGAACATGCCAATTCCGGCTGCGCTGGCTCAAACGCGCGGCGAACGCGAATTCCGGCTGCGCAGCATGAACCCTCTGCGGAGATCGCGCGCGCGGGGCGCTGCGAATTCCGGCTGCGCTGGATGAACCCTCTGCGTTGAGTGGTCACACGTCTTCTGGTTTGGCTCGAGGTACTTGCGCGCGGAGATCGTGCGCGTTGAGTGCTCAAGCGTGCGGTGAAATGAACCTTTTGTGGAGATCGCGCACGTCGAGCGCTCAAACGTATATGGCGACGTGCAAATTCGGTTGCGGAAGTGTGCAACTGTCGTCGAAATTGAATGTGATAATGTGGAACTGTCTTTGCAAATGGCGCCGGAAGCTGGAAGTTGGTAAGTGTGTAACTGTCTTCGAAAACGGAGGTGGAAGCTGCTAAAGCGTGCAACTGTGGTCGAAAACGGAGGCGGGTTGCCAAAGCATGTATCTTCAAAAACTGATCTCCATCCAGTGCGTTTGCGCACTCGCGCCGAACTCAGAAACCGAATGACCCACTAACCTTGCAGCCTGCGTTCTGCGAGGCAGCCATGGCACTGAACAGCACAGTGCCAAGACCAAAGAGCATCGGCGCCGCCACGGCCGAACTGTGGGCCCCACAACCTGCGCAGCGAAGGGGCGAAGCTGCCCCTCCCCAAGTTCAACCACTCGAGCACTTTCAACCAGGATCTTGCTTGCGCACATCAGACTTCCGCAGAAGCTACGCCTTGTACCAGAACAAAGCTGGCATGATGAAAGCAATCAGGAAGCTGACCTGCAGTGAGAGAAAAACAGAATAGATCAGCATACCTCAACAACATTAAGGCCTTTTGGGGTTGACAGACAACAACAAGAAGGACAACCAAACCTTGTCTGACACTCTCGCTGCACTTACTTGACATTCATGAAAGTCAAAGACACTCGTGACGTTTGACAGACATTCTGAGGCGACGCTCTTGTAGGACAACTTTGTGACACACTTTTGCTTGACACTCTTGCGTGACACTCATAAAGGACACACTCCCGCGTGGAATACTCTTGTAGGACACGTTTGCGCGACACTTGTTCTTGACGCTCGTTTGCAACATTCTTGTATGGACGACACTAGTTCTTGACATTCTTTTTCTACACTAATTGTATGGGACACGTTGTGCCTGACACTTGCGCTGGACGCTCTGTTACGACAATTGCGCGCCACAGACCAGAAGCAACAATGAGGCACCAAGCTTCATTGACACCACAAGTCAACGCGCTCACCAGCGACACGCCCCGTCTTTCTAAGTGTCGGACAACGTTGCTTATTTCCCCTCAAAGCACACCTATAAGTTGGGTGGGGGCCTATTGGTTCGCAGGTCTTAGCATCTCTTTACGTGAACTTGGGCGGTACCCTATCGGCCCTATCGGCCTCAGGTTTTGTCATATGACTTGCGAAAAAATCCCCCCACACCAATTGTCGGTGCAGGGCGTAGCTTGAGAGCCGCGCAAATCCGCCCACACTGCTTGTCGGCGCAGGGCGTGCTATGGGGCTCTTAAGCTCTGGAGGATTTTCCGTTACGTCGTGCTTGCAGGGCCACTGGGGAGAGTGTTATGGAGGAGTTTTTGTGTTTTGGGGTGGTTGCTGCGTTGATTCTTGCTCGGGCTGCAGGACCGCTGGGAAGAGCGTTTTGGAAGTGTATTTTTTCCCGAAAGCACCTGCGAAGGGTTTTTCCTTAAGCACTGCTGCCTATTTCATCTTCCTTAATCTCTTTCTCTTACTTGATCTTCCCCACTCTCTCTTCCTTACTCTCTTTCTCTTACTTCATCTTCCCCACTCTCTCTTCCTGACTCTCTTTATCCTACTTCACCTTCCTTACTTCATATTCTTTACTAACTTTCTCCTACTTCACCCTCACAACATCATCATCTAATCATCACCTCATAGGTTATCATATCATATCAGGTTATAATATCATATCACATCATCAATGTCATAACATATCATATCATATCATGTTTTAATATCATATCACATCACATCAATGTCAGATCATATCATCTCATATCATGTGATAAAATAATATCACATCACAACATAACATATGAAGTAGAAGTATCAGATCAACAATATCAAAGTACATCAGAAGTAGATATTGATAGGTAGGTATTGATAAGTGGGTATAGACAGGTAGGTGTAGGTAGGTAGGTGTAGATAGGTAGGTGAAGATAGGTAGGTGAAGATAGGTAGGTGTAGACATCTTCCTTAAGACACCTACCCAACTTCACCTACCCAACTTCTTCTTTATTCTTCTCTTT